TGTGGGGAGCGCCTCGCGAAAGAACTGCTGCGGATGCTCGGAAGTCTTTGCCCATTCTCGTCTTCTTCATCATCGTCGTCAACATCATCATCATCATCGACTCGGCCACCTTCAACAGCGATGACAATACCAGGCGCACGAGGTCGGAGTGACCAGGCGGCAACACCCTCAGTGCAGTTAAGTTTCGTGGCCCACTCAATGGGTGGTTTGATTGTTCGTGAGGCATTGCCGCAACTGTTTCGGGAGATTCAGCGCCAAGAAGGGCAGCTGCAGGTGAAGTGGGCCATGTTTTGCTCGATCGCAACGCCGCATGCAGGCACATGCCATATGGATGCCTTTTTGCGCTCGTATATGGGTCGATTGATTGGGCAATTGTACTCCACGGCTTACCACGACATGTTTCTACAGTCAAATGTTCTTTCAGAGCGACTGCTATCAGTGGAGCACCTGGCGTGTCTCGCAGCGTTTGAGAGGCGCGTACTTATTTCAAGCATCAATGACCTTATTGTCCCATTGATGAGTTCCAGTTTCATGTTGAAACCGACACAATGCGGACTCATGGGAAAGGACGCCCAGAAACGGGAAATCACCGTGTGCGCATCCAACGAAGAGGAGATGCGTGCCAAGCGGCGACACATCACGGAACTCAGCGCAAATGATTGGCCCTGTGATACTTATCCAGTGGAGCGACGCATTATTGAAGCCCTGCTGCAGGGGTCGGGTGCCTTTGACTCCATTGTAGTGGATTTCCGTCGGTTGGTTGAGCCCAACAGAGATCAGCAGACCAATAGGGAGGCGCGTTACTACGCACATCAACTTTCGCATCGGGCGCTGGTCTGCAAGGAACCGGTACACAAACTGGAGGATGTGTTTGGCTTCGTGTCGCGTATGGTGGCGCGCGAGATTGCTTCTACTTCTACTTCTGTTTCTGCTACTACTAATATGACTACTACTGGCGGCGATGATGATGTTGATGTTGTCGGTAGGTAGGTAGGCAGCGAGTTGGTAGTGGCACGGCCGCGCGGGCCTGCGGTTGTCCATCGCCGTTATGCGGCCAAGGAAAAAGGAAGGAGTGGGAGGGGAGAATGGGAATGCGGCGCATGGGTCCGAGGCGAAATCCTACG